GGTGTCCCAATATTGGGGAATGCTGGGGGGGAGGAGAGTATGCCACTGCTACAGCGACCATTATGGTGAGTGTATTGAGTCTGCGAAATGCCCACACATACACAAGGACGATATCTCAATGTTATGGTCTTGACTAAACACCTCTACTTGATTTCCCACACTCTTGCTATAGTTGATGGGGGACACATGCACACGTGGCTGTAGGTTTTGTTCAGTTAAAACAGCAAGACGTCCTCCACCTCTTGACCCTGAGGAGCCATATAACACAGCTAAAGCCATTGCAGCATGGGGTCTGGACTATGTAGTACTCACATCAGTGGACAGAGATGGTGAGAAAACGTGAAACACCAGCAAACCAAAATGAAAGACTCCATGAAAAGCCTTGGACATTTGCCATGCTCATTGCTTTCCTCATTGATGTATTTCCCTAGTAAAACTAAAACATATTAAAGGGCTCATCCATTTAGTTACATTATAGCCATGAGTTTATCTGTTATAATCATTTTTAGTAAGTGAAGTTTTAGTAGTATGCTAGCATACAGATAACATATAGAAGAGAATAGACATGGACTAAGAAGCACAAAACTTTCATTTTGGTTTCATTGTGTCTTTAAAATTTACCGTTGCACTTTATTTTTGACTTCTGACAATATTTTTATTATAATGAATGAACAGACATTCCTGATGGAGGGGCTGAACACTTTGCAAAGACCGTCTCCAACCTTAAAGGAAGGTACAAAAATGAAAAAAAGAGTTTATTTGTTTTTTAGAATCAACTCTTTCATCCATTTCTCTCATACATGATCTTTTCTCTCTTAGGAACCCTGAAATCCTGGTAGAGTGTTTGACTCCTGATTTCCGTGGTGATCTGTCAGCAGTGGAGAAAATTGCTTTGTCTGGGCTTGATGTTTATGCTCACAATGTAGAGACTGTCAGAGATTTACAGAGGTTAGTGCTGTAGAGTCTCGTGTGCTCGCATAAAAAGTCTTCTCCGTAACAGTACGGATTTATTTATTTATTTTGTTTTTATTTTTTTGAAGAATGTTTTTAATGCTGTTTGTAAAGTTCAGAAGCACAGACAGCTTTCAAAATGTGGTGTTTAATTTTTTCGTGTTTTATTTTTACGCAAAAATATATACACTGTGTATTTGTGGTTGTTTTTACTTGTAAAAATGTAAATATTTTAAAAAATAATAATTATATATTATAAAAATAATAATAAATATTATTGTAAATATATTTTATTTATGTTCCTTTTATGTTTCTTTCATATTTTATTTGTATTTATTTTTTTTTCCCTGTTTTGTTTCTAGCATGTACAGTCACCACCAGATGGCAGAAATATCTAGTCTATTTTATCAAGTGAATTAGTAGCTCTCATCATTTAAAGCTTGTAGATTTCATTGCTGACCTCACTTTTCATCTTTGACCTTTGACCTTAAGGCATGTGCGTGACCCCCGTGCAAACTTCGACCAATCACTGAGTGTTTTACGACATGCTAAAAAGGTGAAACCCAGTGTGCTCACGAAGACTTCCATAATGCTGGGGCTCGGAGAGACAGATGCGCAGATACGCTCAGCTCTGAAAGGTAATTCATATTAGAATTAGAGATGCGTTACGTATCAAGGGAGGTCGATAAATATGCATATATTAACATGAGAGTTCTCTGTGTTCTTGCAGAATTGAGGGACTCTGGAGTGGACTGTCTAACACTGGGGCAGTACATGCAGCCAACCAAACGCCATCTCAAGGTACGAGAATAATAAAACAACCAAACTCTGTCCTGGATGGCACACTCCCAGTCTGTTCACTAATCATCTGATACACTCTGCACACAAAAATGGCAAGTGCTGACTGACATCACCAGCCACAAGCTGATTGGCTAGCTTTACGCAGCGTTCGGTAGTAAAGGTGTGGTCACATTCGGTTGAATTTCAAGTGCAAAATTGGTCCATTGTCAATAGTTCAGCAATGTATGCAGCACAGCTCACAGAGTCAATGTCTTTTGAGACCAGCTTGAACCTGTTGTGAAATCTGCATGTGAAATCTTTCACCCTAATGCGAAATTCCCAATCGTGTGGATTTCGCCCTTAAAAAAATTGTCAAACAATGGCAATGTAACTGTACCTTAAAGCAACTCTATGTAGTTTTGTGTATTTTTGGAGTCCCCTATAGTTAAGTGAAGTCTCTATGGTAAATATATTATAAGTGAATAACTATAAAAGTCCATTTGCTGTGCCATAAAGCAAACTGCCCTTTTCACTTTTTGAAAATGATATTTCAAGGTAAAAAAAAACAACAACTAAACATATAGTTTCTTTAAGTGATCTATTTTAGATAACGTTGCATAGAAACAAAACAAACTCTGATTGGACATGTTGTGTGGATCTAAGAAGAACCAAATTTTACCGAAGTGAGAAGTCTTCCAGAAATAATAATTCAAAAGCAACAGGCAACATTTCCCATTTCATACATTATTTCAGTTTCATTCTGTTACATCACACACTTGTCACACTTTCAGAATGTCATTATCTCTTCTTGAATGCATCAGTCTGAAAGTGTGTGTCTGGTTGAAGGTGGAAGAGTATGTTACTCCTGAGAAGTTTGCTTACTGGGAGAAGGTTGGCCAGGAGATAGGCTTTGTCTACACAGCCAGTGGGCCACTTGTGCGCTCCTCTTACAAAGCAGGTAACCTGACAACATGTTTTAATTCATGGAAATGTAGCTAATACTCAGATAATGGCATCTGTTAGCATTCCCATATTTTTTTTTCAATGACAGTTGCTTGGCTGGTGCAAGATGCCCCAAATCTGTGACTTTAAATCTCCAATCTTTTCTCATGGGGCAACAACAGCTACATCAATAAAATTAATCATTTGCTGTATGTTGCTTGCAAAAAAAATTCATTCCATCATCTACTTTAGAATTTGTAAAAGCTTTTACAACAAGAGGTGTAGTTTCGACTCTCAGGGCAGCCAAACCTTGACTCCATTTTTCATGAAGCACTTACAATTACACATACTGTAACATTATTTGTTTTAACATACGGTTTCATTTTTTAGGTGAATTCTTTTTGAAGAATCTGCTGGAAAAGCGGAAGACCAAAGGAGCCACAGTGGCAGCAGAGTAAAACTAGTGAACGTCACCTGTCTACAGTATAAATACTATTAATAGGATGGTTCATCCAAAAATGAAAACTCTGTAATAATTTACTTTCCCTCATGTAATTTTTCTGCAACAAATAGTAATACAGGTTTGGAACAACATGATGCCGGAATTTTCATTTTTGGGTGAACTGTCCCTTTAAGTATACATATTACAAAATGATGTTGCTGTAACTCGTAATGTTGTTTTAGAAATGGATTAAAGATCTGTATATTGTGTATCATTTAAAGGGGTCATAGGATGCTAATTTCACTTTTACATGTTGTTTGAACATAAATTAACACATCTACCCTATAATGATAAAAATCCACCCAGTGTTTTTTATTTAATACCTAAAAATAATATCCCCTTTTTCAAATCGGGCCGTTCTCAGCTTCTTGTCTGTGTGACGTCACACGGACGAAGGCCGCTCCCGTGACAGTAGATTGACACTAGCACCTTACCTTAGACCCGCCCTGAGTGAGCTGTAACAGTCCGACCTCCATTGTTTCACGGCAGAAGCAGATGTAGACAAGAATGGCTCCTAAGCGATTGAGGTGTTCTGTTGTTGGATGTAATAATGAACAGCAGTCGTCATTTACTCCCGACAGGCACGTGCACAGGTAGGGCTCCGCCTGTGCAGAGCACATGCCCTTTTTGCCCTTACACACTCCGAAGTGCCCTTTTTTTTGGTGATGGTGTTTTTTTTTCCTTCAATAAATCAATGATATTGGTCACCCTTTACATCTGTCTGTCTGCTTTACAAATATTTAGCTAATGAAAGGTATTAAAAAGAGCTTGTGACTAAATCTTGTTGGATCCGCTCAAACTGTCAGTAAACCTGTAACTGCATTTGAGTTTGACACAAAGCGACTGAGTGATCCTCGTCACCTAGGTAAAATATATTTCTAAGACATTTATGATCGCTGATACACTTAATTTATTAACATTTAATCATATTATATGGTCGCATGGCTAATTCATGTTTACGCTGTTAATATGCATGTATTCTAGCTAGCTACTTTTTTTATCTAGCATTCTATACTCTGCTCGTCTTCAAATGTATAAACGTAGTAAAACATGTTTTTACTACAGTAATGTTGTAACCAACAAAAACTTTACAGAATCAAATCATTGTGAAATCTTTATATTTTATCATGTATAATGTAATACATTATATATATATTACATAGCTAAAAAAATATTTTTCTTCAAACGTAATTTTATTGAACTTTATGTGTGCAAAGCAGAGAAAAATTGAATTGTGTATATACTCCCGACATCTGAGCCGCTGAAGACGCAGGGTATTACTTTTGTTTGTGAAGGGAATGCGCCCCCGATCTACCTAAATCCGTTTATGTTCGCGGGAATCATTCGTGATCCAGCTTTACTTACAGCAGAAGTGAGTATAAGGTTTTTTTTATGAATCTTTGCAATAGCTGTTCCTAATAACATGCTACTTAGCAAGTTTTGTGCTAAATGTGGTTAAAGTAAACAGTCTCTCAGAGCACGGTTCGTCAACCCACAGAAGAGAGGGGCGGGGTCAGCAGAGCTCATTAGCATTTAAAGCAACATGCAAAAAATGGGTTGCATTCTGCAGAGCTGATTTTGAAAAGGTAAAAAGGGTGTTTTTTACACTACCATTGAGAAATTTTAACCGAAGTACATTATAGACTTTTCATTAAGACTCTAAAGAATCATATCAACTTGTGGAAAATGGGCATCCTATAACCCCTTTAATATCAATACAATATATTTAATTCAAACTTGTCAAAGATCATGTTGTTTTTTTTTGTTTCAGCCATGGTTGGCTTCCATATTTAAGCCTGTGAAATGAGTATCCAAAACCGCTTCATTTCATTGGTCCATATTTATTTAAGAATTACATTTTCTTCAATCATAATACATGACCATTATAAACCTGTACAGTAAGAGATGATTTTATAAAAGCTACAACTGTGACTCTACAATAACATACACAGTGCAGGTTGAACAATACATATCAGAGGATTCATAAATGATTAATAACGGAGTCACACAAACAGCTATTTGGTATCACATGCCAAATTTCAGGCAACAGCGGTTTTTTATGTCCCACTTGGTCCTAGTATTTAAAAGTTGCAATTCCTTCTGTTACTGCTCCTTCAGACATCACTCTCAAATAAGTAGATGATTTTGTCATTAAAATCTACACTACAATAACACTGATAACTGTAAACAATAATATACTACTAAACAGTACTGGGATGTTAATGTATTAACATCAGTTTTGTGTACAGTTAATATACGTTTCAAACATGTTCCGAAATGGCACAGACATGAGAACATTCTAAAAAATTTCAAGAATAATGATTTTAAAATCTAAGACACAAATGACAGTGTTTAAAACATTAAATCACTGCATTTTTGTGAATGGCCATGAAAGATAAAACTCAGTCTTAAAAAACATTCTGAAGACAGAAACACACGCACACACACAAAGCACATGCATTTTTACAAACAGATTTCCAGCAACGGTCACACATTACTTTGGTTTTCTCAGCAAAAGACTTTAATCAATGTAAAGTGCACATGCGTGTGTGTATGAGTCGGTGTCTAGGCTTTGGATTTCTTGATGGGTGGTTCATTGATTCGTGGAACTCCACCAGATGGTGTGAAGGGAATTCGGGTCGTCACCTTCTTTCCAATGGTCTCGATCTATGCAAAACACACAACATTAAACCATGCCAACTAATAGAGAGATGAAGTCAGGCAGGTAGGCACAGCTACTAACTTGTTAACTGCAGAAATATCCACTCACCTGAAAGCCAAAGTTTTGTAGCTGAGGGTGCAGATGGTCCAGGACTCGTCGACCATCAAAGATAAATGCTGGTTTCAACATCTTGTGGTATATTTTCTCATAATCCAGATCCTAAAAACAAACACATGCAATACTTCACTATTCTTTTTAGACATACCATTGTGTGTGTGTTCTTTTTTTTTACTACATTGTAGTACCACATATACAATAATAAGAATATGGTAATCATTCAGTACCATGGCAGGGCTCGACAGTAAGGACTTGTTGGCCAATAGTTCAGATTTATTTAAATTGTAATTTACGCTTAGAAATGTAAATGTAATAGTCTATTTTTATTTATATATTTATTTACATTCTAAATTAATTAAATATATAAACCGAAAAGGTTATACTTTATATTAAGGTGTCCTTGTTACAGTGTAATTATACCATTACGTACGGAGTAATATTAATTAACTACATGTACTTACTGGTTAGGGTTACTTGCATGTAATTATGCATAATTTATTGTTATTATAATAGTAAGTACATGTAGCATGTGTAACAAGGACACCTTAAAATAAAGTATGTATTATTTATATTATTTTTGCATATAAATTTATAATTCCGCATTTATTCTAATTTTTTTAATGTATTAAACATTTTTACATTTCTAAATAATATATGACCAAACATCAATTAATTTACATTTGTAATGTTTTGTATTAATTGTCAAATTATTTAAAAATATTATTTAGTATTACACATTGTTATATTTCTAAATGAATATTCTAAATTGCTTTTATAATATTATATTTACATTTAAATGTATGATTTATTCTAAAATTAATTATAAAAAAATACTAATTAGTAATATTTTTAAATATATACATGTATAGGTAAATCAAACATTTATTAATAATAAAACAGTAAGAAAATGTCCAAAAATACCTGGAAATTAATGCATTGTTTGCAAGGCACAAAAATGCATGTACATGATCAATAAATATGGCGCTGATATAGTGTTGGTCCAATAGGGCAAGTGACAGTTCTGCTTTTGTAAAGCAAACCACTTTAAATCAAAGCATGAATCAAATATTACACTATACATCAGTGCTTTGAGTTTGTGTTTTTCTGTGTGCCATGTACCTTAAACATGTCCCACTCTGTGCAGATGACCAGGGCATGTGCACTTTCACATGCCTCATAGGGGTCCGACGTCACTGTTACAAGATCAGACACTGCAGAGAGAATGAGAGTCACGGCAAATTAGACAGAAACACGCAGACGCAAACTTTCTCCTGCGTTCTCTTATGCGAGTCTCTCCCCTACATGACATTCAGCATGACACAGCACTCGCTCCCTCTTGACCTAATGCATGGTTTTATCTGCTCAACACGCATACCTCTCTCTGGGTTGTCTCCGGAAATGCTGGGTTGAGACAGGTCCTGGATTATCTGCTCCTTCAGCACTTTAGGGTCATAAATATGCAGCTTGGCTCCTTCGTCCATCAGATACTTAGAGATGTAGATACTGGAGGACTCTCTGAAACACACATACACACACAGGAGAAACTTACAACACAAGATTCCCATTTACACACAGATTATGATGCCATGGAAAAGGCCCTTTATGAATCAAAGAGAACAGTAGCAAAAATAGAACATATTAAATAACTAATAATATTTTAAATAATATTATACAATATTGAAAATTGGACTTTTTTTTTTTCAGGCAGTTTAATGAAACTGTCATAATTTCACAGTGGTGTCCAAAAGACTAGACTAGAATAGAATAATCTCATTGTGAAATCTCACTCAACTGTGAGGGTTATATTGTTTAAGAAAAAACTAACCGGTTAATACTGAGTTACAACATCATTTGCCTATTTTTGAGCTTCCATTGAAAATACCTCTAAACAAAGTCCAACAGAACAAACATTTGCGCATCTCTGAACAACACAAAGTGGTGCTTTCCTTCTAAATGAATCACTGTTTTTGAAAGAATTGACTGAAGAATTAAGTGAATAATTCAATTAATTATTATAATTCACTTGTAGGCACCTACTGGTGAAACAATGTAAAAAAGCATTGTGATACAGTAAAAAGACTTGTTTGTCTGAACATCAACACTCAGCTAATCAAATTCGAAGATTGGAACTAACAGTGTAATAAACATTTATGATTTTGCATTAGTTCTATATCACTAATAAAATAAGTAAATTTGTGCCATTCACACCTTTGCACTAAAAGTCAGATTTCCTTGCTTCCATCAATGCTGTTAATCTAGGAATGATTAATGCCATGAATCATGCTTAAATTGTGCTGCATAACATGATCACCAGGTATTGCATAAACTTCTGGAGTTCATATTACCTTAAATGCTGCTCCCATTAGGAAAAGATGGACATATTAAATAATAAAACATTCTGAAATTCATGTGAAACTTTTCACACAACTGTGTGACAATTTGTGACACATTGTCATGCTAATAATATAATTATTTTCACTAGTGGTATCAGACTTTGGACCCCACTTAGTTATTGAAGGGATTTGTTATAAGCTTGTGTTCATGCCCCATTCTATTATGTCTTGAATGGAGGTAAAAAAAAATAAAAAACAACAGTCATAATTCTCTTCTGAAACAATCCACATGCAGAGGCATGACATATACTCAGTGACTCTAGATAAAGGTCATGGGTGGCACAGGTGTGTTTACGCATGTATTGCAGTGTTTTAAGTCTGCATGGTTTTAATAGGATATAGTTCAAACCAAGGAAAACTATGTGTAATCTTCATTACACAATCAAAGTTGATGGTTAACTCATGCTCTGACATCTCATGGTCTGTGTTTTGTAGGTTAAAGTGAAAGACACAGCTTTTGACTTGTCATAAATAAAACAGACTGGTTCAAAGTATCCCTGTACGTACCTGGTGTCTCCTGTGTCCTTCTTGAAGGAGAAACCTAACAAAGCGATTTTCTTCCCTGTAACGGTGTTAAACAGGCAGTCAATGATCCGACAGGCAAATCTCTTTCTCTGATATTCGTTCATGTCAATCACCTGAACATAAGGAAGCACAGAGTAAAAGGTTAGACAAAATTAATCAAACTTATTTTCTGATATCAATGAGTTTTCGTATGACAAGTTATCATATGAAAGTTTTTGGTTGGTAAGACTTTTAAATGTTTTTGAAATAAATCTCTTATGTTCACCAAGGATGTATTTATTTGAGCACACCATTAAAAACTGTAATATTGTGAAATATCATTACAATTAAAATAACTGTTTTCTATTTTAGTATATATTAAAATGTAATTTATTCCGATGATGGCCAAGCTGAATTTTCAACAGCCACTTCTCACTTCCCATGTGCATCTCCACACATTCAAACATGCTGTGACATGATCCGTCAACCATTTGATGATTTTACGTGAAGCTAAATCTGACTTGATGCGTCTTTCCACTGAATGATGACTCACGCAAAGCCAACATATCCCATCAAGACTTACTAAATAAGCATTCAAAGTGAAGTTTACCTGTTGCCAGTATGAAGCAACCTCTGGGAGATTCAGTGCCTCACATAGATACACCAAATTCAGCACATCCTTCTGAAAACAACTTCCTCCAAAACCTGATACAGACACAAACACAACTGAAGGCCAGCTGAAGCACAACTCACATTTGTTTGCGTGAATCTCATTCTATCATATCATAAAGAGCACCAATAATGAGGAATTAAAGGGGTCATATGATGTTGCTAAAAAGAACATTATTTTGTGTATTTGGTGTAATGAAGTGTTTATGCGTTTTAAGGTTCAAAAAACACATTATTTTCCATATAATGTACATTATTGTTTCTCCTCTATGCCCCGCCGTTCTGAAACGCGTCGATTTTTACAAAGCTCATCGTTCTGAAAAGTGAGGTGTGCTGTGATTGACCTGCTATCCAGTGCGTTGTGATTGGCTGAATACCTCAAGCGTGTGACAGAAATGTTACGCCCCTTACCATACTGTGATGCCATGTCCCGGAGCGAAGTCTCATCTCCACCTATCAGGACGCGATCTGGGTCCTTCAGGTCCTTCACTGCTGTGCCCTCCGCAAGGAACTCTGGGTTCGAGAGAACCTGTAATCAAAGGTGGGAAAAGGTCATTTATTAACACAGAGGAGCAGTGAACAAATCCCTAAGGTCCACAAATCCAGTTGGTTTATTCACTTGTTCACTTGAGAGAGGCAAAAATAGCAACCTTTGTAGAAAAGCCCTTTTAAAACAACAGCCTAATCCAGATTATATTTACAAGTAGACGATGGCTGTGTAAAATGTCAAACTAATGTAGAAGTATATTTTCACAACATAAATTAGACAAACAAGTTCCTTTAACTTTTTAATACCCCACTGTGTCCTATTTGAGTGAACACACACACATATACATACATGTATATACTGTACACACACACACATTACTATTCAGTAGGAGTCCTTAAAGGGGTCATAGGATGCCCATTTTCCACAAGTTGATATGATTCTTTAGGGTCTTAATGAAAAGTCTGTAACATAGTTTGGTTAAAATTTCTCAATGTTTCAAAATTTCCCGACATCTGAGCCGCTGAACTCGCAGTGGATTACATTGTTTCTGAAGGGAATGCGCCCCCGATCTACATAAATGCGTCTATGTTCACGCAAATCATTCATGATCCAGCCTCATCTACAGAAGTAGTGAGTATAATGTTTTGTAATGAATCTTTGCAAATCGCCTTTCCTAATAATGTGCTAATTAGCAAGTTTCACGATGAATGCGGCTAAAGTAAACGGTCTCTCTGAGAGCAGCTGGGAAGAGAGGGGCGGGGTCAGCAGAGCTCATTAACATTTAAAGGTAAATGCTACAAAAATGGCTTGATCTGAAAAGAGCTGTTGTATGTTTTTATGTTTTTTGCACTACCATTGAGAAATTTTAACCAAACTATGTTACAGACTTTTCATTAAGACTCTAAAGAATCATATCAACTTGTGGAAAATGGGCATCCTATGACCCCTTTAAGATGTTTTTAATGTTTTTAAGGAAGTCTCTTATGCTCACCAAGGCTGCATTTATTTGATATAAAATACAGTAAAAAAACATTACAATTGTGAATTATTACTACAATTTAAAATGACTTTTCTATTTCAGTATATTTTAAAATGTAATTTATTTCTGTGATGCCAATGCTAAAGTTTCAGCAGCCATTACTTCAGTTTTTAGTGTCACATGATCCTTCAGAAATTATTCTAATATGCAGATTTGGTGCTCAAGAAACATTTCCTTATTATTATCAATGTTTAAAACAGTTGTGCTGCTTAACATTTTGTGGAAACTGCAAAAACAATTTTTTACAGGATTCTTTGATAAATAGAAAGTTTAAAATAACAGCATGTATTTGAAATAGCAAAAAGGTGATTTTAAAAAGAGTGGATGGTGACACTTTCCTTTATACAATTATCAGTGTTGGGGAGTAACTAGTTATATGTAACGGAATTATGTAATTTAATTACAAAATAAAAGTAATTGTAATCAGTTACAGTTACTTAGAAAAAATGTGTAATTAAATTACAGTTACTTTTATTTTGTTTTGAAAATGTTAAGGATTACAAAGGGGGTTACATCAGATTTTTTTCACAAATACTCCCACATACATATTTAATTGAGTTCTTTCATAAATTGCAGTGACTGCTCTAAAATATGAAACACCAATGTTTCAGAAGTTTATAACATGCTTATCCGATAGGGTTTATGTATATGCTTTATTTTTTTAAGATCAACTGTTTTTTTCTAAGGCATTGTTAGATTCCAGTGTTTCCAGTCTATGCAAAGATTTGATTTCAAAAACAGTATCATAGCTATTCAACTATTTCTTGTTATGATTTTAAATATGTATTTAACCTCAGAATGATTTTAAAGTCAGTCTGATTTTGTGGTGGCTGTGCTTCATTTTTTCCATTTTCCACGTTGGTATGATTCTTTAGGGTATTCTTGAAATGGTCTCAGTGGTCGTGTAAAACAACACCCTTTTTACCTTGCCAAAAACAGCTCTGTTCACAGCGACTCGTTTTGGTGCATATCTCTTTACATGCTAATGAGTTCTGCTCACCCCGCCCCTCTCTTTTGTGGAAGAGCAAACGCGATTCGCAAATAATCATAAAAAATAAAAAGTGTGTTGACACCGATAGCCTTGTGGGCAGCGCGCTGACATACAGCACCATTGCACTTCGGGTGTCCCATGTTCAAATCGGACCTTTCCCGATCCCGCTGAAGGTGGAAGAGAGCGCTGGTATTCATTCCAAAATCAAAATGGCTTGATAATTGAGACTGTTTAGGTTTTTGGGGGGTTAAAAAAAAAGGAGTGAATTTTTATCATTGTAGGGTGGTTGTGTCCACACACTGCTAATGCTAATTTATATGCAAATGAAGATTTTTTGCATCCAATGTCTCCTTTAAGATTAAAATATTATAATCTTAATTCAAGTGATGAAGGATTTCGAAAGTCTGACAGTTATCAGTGTTGAGCACATATTGTAAGTTTAACCCTGCCTGGTTTACATGTTTGAAAATGATTAACAGTTGAAAACATTAGAAATTTAGAAAAGTAATCAAAAAGTAATCAAATGTAATCAGTTACATGAATAAAGTAATTTAAAAGTTACACTACTTATTACATTTTAAGTAGGGTAACTTGTAATCTGTAACCTATTACATTTCCAAAGTAACCTTCCCAACACTGACAATTATATACAATTGAACCTCAAATTCTGGACTAAATCTCATGGACATTTTGTTTGTCAAGTTCCGCTCACACAAACACACCTGCAAATTGAGGCTGGGTTTGGTGTTTGCATCAAATATCCTGCGGATGCTCTCAGCTGCACGGACCGGCACCGTGCTCTTCTCCGTAACGATTTTATACCCATCCGACATCTCCACAATCCGCCGTGCACATGCCTCGATAAACTTCAAGTCAGCAGCACGACCTTTGCCCATACCATATGTCTTAGTTGGGGTGTTTACCTGAGAAAAAGAGAAGGATATCTGGGTCAGTGTACAGACCTACATACAAAACCACATCAAAATAGTTTGTCACACTCACGGAAATGAAGACCAGATCTGCCTCTTTAATGGCAGAGTCGATATCTGTGGAGAAAAAGAGGTTCTTCCCACGGCAAGACAACACCACTTCATTCAGACCCGGCTACAACAGCAAGAAGTAGAGACACATTTCATGAAGAATTCTCATTAAAAACATTTGTAAATGGATGAAGCATTTCTTTTTGAAATTCGTTGTACTATTCACTTGTTTAAGGGTAAAAATATTTCTAATTAAGAAAATAAATCAGAGTGCACCTTTAACTTGAATGTATATCTTTAACGTTGTTACCTCGTAGATGGGCAGGGTGTCAGAGTTCCAGGCTTTGATCCGGGATTCATTAACATCCACTACTGTTACTGTGATCTCGGGACACATGCTTGCAATGACACTACATGTCGGACCTCCAACATACCCAGCGCCTATACAGCAAATCTTTTTAATCTGAAACATCTGAGAAAAGAGACAGATGGAATCAAGGTTAAAAAAAATGTAGCCCTAAATGGTCTGCAACAGATTATGAGACAATTATGAATGGCCGCTTATTAACCATTGAACTACTCTCAAGGCAATTCCTTCTCTTTCACAGAGACCCAGGGCCTCATGAGGCCGTCACTGGTAAGTATCATATTACTGACCCCCTGGGGCTTTATGTAGTGATGAGAAGTTCGGCTCCTTTGCGACGTTCGGTTCTTTTGAACAGTTCATCCCAAAATACGATTCAGCGATTCTTTTCTATAATATATATTTAGTGATCCACTAATAAATGCTATTCAAAATAAATCCTAAAATCAGTTAAGTCTCGCGTGTATATTACATTAAGGTAATAAAAAATAAACTGTTTTTTAAAGTTGATGTAAAGTAAATTACATTTCAACCCATCAGTCCAATCTCACTCATCGTTTCTCTGGTAAATTATTCAGTAGGTCTTTGACATCACTTCGTGAATGAATCGTTCAGGGCTGCGTTTCCCAAAAGCATCGTAAGTTTAAGTACATCCGCATCGTAGACCCATAGAAACCAATGCAGCTACGATCAATTTAGGCTAACGATGCTTTTGGGAAACACAGCGCAGAGCGGTTTTGCGAAACAGCAGATCGAAAGACTCAAAAGACGAAACCGTTTAAGTTAATTAACGTGTATGGCTCTGCTGCAACAGCCATAAATAACTAATAATAAAAAACAGATGATAAAATTTAATGATAGATAGAAATAACGCAAATTTTGTGTCCGCAAAAACAAGTTTATAACTGTTGCCTGTTGATGCTTTTAACGTAAAATGTCGTTAAATGGTTTATGATTTGATTGCTGATGTTCTCGTGAACATAGGAACTCTTTAACTTAATGATAAAACGGTTTTATCATTTAAAGATTTACAGAATATGATCAGTTTTAGATTCTGTATTATAGCTTCAATCACAACTTTAAATTCTATGTGATATACTTTAAATATATAAAAGATTTCAATAGCTATAATACAGACTTACCTTGTCTCACAGTGAAGTTCTTCAGTTAAACACTCTTTTGTGTGACTCAGGCCAGTATGCAAGTAAGGTTCCTCCGTCTGAGGTGCCTTGTTCCCGAATGAATAAAACTATTATATCCTTGATACATACACTCACGCAGAACACACACACATTTACGAACGAACACACACACCGGGAGGGGGATAGCAACGTAAACACTTCAGAGAGGGGAGGGGACAAACTCCGCTTCCGGGTCATTAAGTCTTTTCAAATTAAGAGTCTCGTTAACCTAAGGAAGCGGTAATCAAAAATCATTTTGATTGTGACTTAAACAGAACAAATGAACGTTCATAGACCGAAATGGTTTATTCTAGTTATTTAAATCTAATTTAATTAGATAACGTAAAATAAATACGGTAAAACTGATTTCTGGGACATTTCATTTGACATAAATGCCACTGAAGCGAAACATTACGTGTGGAGAACGCAGACGTTTCAGAAGCAGCCAATCAGTGACTGAGAGGTCTCGGTGACGTAACATCAAAGGAAAGTATTAGTGGTCCTTCTGACGCAGAAGTAATATCGACAAATTCTAATTAGAAACGTATGAAAGAGACTAACCACCACCAACAAATATTCCCATTCCCATATTTAACGAAAGAAAAACACGTCCTGATGCTATTGTTCGTATTTATTTGTAGTAACCAAAAGTGCATAGATCAAGCCCTTTGTCATAGAGCAGTTTCATTAGAACAGTGTACATACATAGAATTTACATGCCCTGAAATCCACACCAGCACCTTAACTGATCTACCCAGAAATCATTAGTCCAACCAACTGCACCAAGTTGTACAAGACATTCTAACGTTCTCACAGAACTGAAGAGACAGGAAGTTTGAGTAAGTTACACCAAACTTGAAATGGGGCAGATTTACATCCTCTTTTTAGTGTTTTTCTGGAGCTTTGCATTCTGTACACAACTGTAAAGGTTCTACAACTAAGTGCTACCGTTTGAAGATTTGCCTTTAAGCATAACATAAAAGGCAATCTCACTCTTCACAAATATTCCCAAAATTCCTTAGTACCCAATTTATCTTCTTATTTTTTTCTTATTTTGAAAGATTACATTGTTTTTAGATTTTCACCACTGAAATTTGACAGCTACCCATACCATTTGACTAACTGTTTTAGTTAGTATAGCTACATAATGATTCCTGAGCAAATGCAGAAAAACTGAGACCAAAGAATGGCATTCAAGTAGCTATGCTAGCAATTGCTCTAGCGATTTTTATACACAAAGGGTAAATAGATTGTCAAAGTCTTCAGGGTGGAGAGGTCTGCCTTAGATCAGCCACCTCTCGGTGGTCAACAGATCCCAGACCATGACAACATCCACACAGCCATGACGTCAAAAGTGATAAGAGCCAACTGGAATACGCCCATTTCATCATTTCCTCTTGCACAAAAATTTTACTTAAGAAGTGGTCTTGGTCAACCTTAAGTCATTTCAATTGCATCTGTGTTTAGAATGACTCAATGCAGTCAAGGCTCATTCTCCTCCATGGACCAATGACATCATGTCTGTGAAGTCATCATAGCTTTGGAATGTATTGGCTACCACAGAACAAGAAACATTTTCCTCTTCACCTCAGTCTACTCAAAAATAACCCAAATCGTTTGACAACACCCAATTTCTAGGTAACCTTTCCTTTAGATCACAATTCATATTCAGGCTGATCTAGGGCAAATGTCATTATATAGGCCTATATGTCATTTTAACAACTTGTTAAATACCTAATAATGCTTTAGAAGAAAAATATAATAATAAGAAGAAAAAAATTTAAGACAGATATATAAATCCGGGAAAATTTAGACTCCTACAATACAGCACTTTCACCACTAGGGCAACTTTCTCTATTTGCTTCCTCTTTTGAAATGTAACATGTAGAAACACCTTGTTATCCAAGTGGCTGTGTAGATCAGACCCCCTCATCGGACTAAAGAAACTGGAATCTGAAACACGGACAGATGATTAAGGAAACTAATACGTTATATTAGCCACAGTAGCTGATCAGGTGGAAGCTGGATTAAAAAATCAAATCTTTTGAAGTGGAAAAACCTCTAGTCCACAGGAGGTGCTGGTGGTTCTCTGCCATGATTCTAAATGAGAAGAAAAAAAAATTCCATCCAGTGACTACAGGAATTACAATTCAAGGATTAATGTAAATTAACAGTGTTGAGTTGCTACACTTTCTGATTACTGTTATTTCACTGTACTGATCATTTACACACTACCGACCAAACGTTTGGAATAATTAAATAAAGATTTTTTTTAATGTTTTTGAAATAATTATTTTTTGTTGACCAAGGCTGCATTTATTTGATTGAAATACAGTAAAGCAGTACTATTGTGAAATATTATTAAAGTTTTATTTTAATATATTTAAAAATGTCATTCACTCCCTGTGATGGCAAAGCTGAATTCTCAGCAGCTATTCCTCCAGTCTTCAGTATCACATGATCCTTCAGAAGTCATTCTAATATGCAGAGTTGGTCCTCAAGTAATATTTTTACCATTATCAATCTTGAAAACTGTTTTTGCTGCTTAATATTTTTGTGGTAACAGTTAAACAATACCATTTAAGTATTAAATTAAATTAATACTTTTATTCAGCACGAACACATGAAATTCATCAAAAGTGACAGTAAAGACATTTATAATGTTACAAAACATTTGTTTTCCAAATACATGCTGTTCTTTTACATTTTCTATTCATCAAAGAATCTCGAAAAAATGCATCATGATTTCCACAAAAATATTAAGCAGCAAAAACTGTTTTCAACATTGATAAAAATAAGAACTATTAATTAAATTGTAATAATATTTCACTGTATTAATGCTTATCTGTATTTTTAATCAAATAAGCAGTTTTGTAGAGCATAGAGACTTATTTAAAAAAAAAAAAAAGAAGTAATTATTCCAAACTTTTGACCGCTAATGTAAGCGATAACTCACACAGTTTGACCATCATTATATTATCTGTCATGACTTACACCATGGGGACCGGAGGGCTTGCTGCTGGCTGAAGGACCTCTCAAGCTGGCTGGGCGGAACAAGAAGAGCATGAGAGCTAGAACTAGCCATCCCATAATAATCATGGGTAGAGTGATGTCCCCTTCTACCGAGGAGTTGGGGCCTGGCACTGCACACACAAGACTCAAATGTTAGAAAATATAACAGAATATGTGCTATCGTGTGATATGCTTTTGTTTTGGACACACAGACTTACTGTCCTGAAGGCACTCTGTGTCTGTACAGTAGGCCTGGGACTGCCTCAGCTTGGAAATTAATCACAAAGAAAATATTTGATCAAAAAGGCTAATTAAAAAAACATAATCTATGACAACATTGTGTGTGTATGTGGACGTGGGCTGCTACATTACATTAGTTCATAAAACATTAATTGATATCAAATTTAATTTGAAACAATCAGTGTGTGATTTATATATAACAAGTATTATATTTTAAAAAAGCATTATATCTTTCATTTCAAATGCTTGTTCAAAACAATACTTCAAATAGCTGAATCAAATGTTATTCCTGGGCTGATCCAAGTGAACCAAAGCACTAGCGCCATCTACTGGCCATTTATTTAAACTACAAAAGCAGAATTAACCTATAGTGTCATTTTTTCAAGATAAAATAACCACATAAAGATATGTAGTTACATAGTCCACTACAGCTCTTAAAAACTACCATTGGAACATACAAAGATTGGCACACATCCAACTGAAATTAATTTATTGAAATTAAATGGATTTCTACACCATTACAAAACAAACATTTTGGCAATTATTTATTAGAACCATAGCTTCATTAGCCAGTGTGAAATTCATTCAATTATAACTCTTTCTCTCTATTATATATATATTAAAAAAAAATCCCGACAATACTATTCCAAAGGAATCACAAGAAATATACACAATAATGTTATTTGGACAAAACTAAGTAAATGGAGGTTAAGTCAATTTCAGGGCAAAATCAATTTTGTTCAAGGTTGTTTACAATAATACTGAAATGATTAAACTTCTGTTTTATGTTCATTTATAAATGCACATGATCAATAAGTAAAAATAAAATGCAAAAGATCAATTTCTATTTGCACTTCTGGAATAAGCAAATGCAAGCTGTATTATATATTATATAAGTTATGTATATAATAATATTTGAAATGCTGATCTGGAAAAGAGAGAGAAAAGGAGATGAAGAACTCACCAGGCTGATGAGTCTCCTCATGGCATGTTCATGAGAGCAGATGCACTCACAGAGGTCAAAACCTCCCTCTGCCATCCTCTCCTGAATAAGACAGAGGATTCACAAACATTACAAAAAATGTATGAAAATTACAAACACTAATAATATTCAATTATTTTAAACACACACAGAGACTCAAAAACTGAATGGGTGTGGTGAGTTATAATGGCTTCACATGTGAAGGATGTCAGCATGACTCACATTTGAAATCCAAATAAGCACAAAGCTGTGGTTGGCTTCTTTAAATAGGTTACCTAATGGACTGACAATGTTGTAAAGTTAACAATCTAGACTAAGAACTGCTACTCCTCTCCCAAGCTTCATCTAATGCAGTGGGGTTTTTTTTAATTCGTTAAAGTTTGTGGATAAAAAAAGTTTGAGTACTTTATGAACCATGACATAAACTGTAAATAAATAAATAAATATATTTCAACCTCATATTGACCCACGTCACACGAAGAATTGACAATTTAATGACAAATACGTTGGAGTAAAAATTTCTTTCCAAGTTTTAATTTATATTACACAAATTGAAAATTCCCATATGCGAATTACACAGTAAATTAACATGAGTAAAATTGTAATTATTGCATTAGTATGTTTCAGTGAGATGCTGTGATGGTTGTCAGTCTGAACTGCACGTTCCCGTTAAAGGGGTCATATGATGCTGCTAAAAAGAACATTATTTTGTGTATTTGGTGTAATGAAATGTGTTTATGCCGTAGGTATGTGGGGAGTGTTCGAACAAGCCGTTTTAGGTAGGTGTGGCTGACTCTTAATTTTTATAAAGAATATCTCTTTGGATTTGAGACTTTAGTCTTTGCAAATTTACAGATCTTCTTTATGCACCAAGAGCTTGTAACACTCCAAAGAGAAAGGAAACATTGAAATTGCATCATACGACCCCTTTAAATCAACTTCGAGCGACTGAAGTGTGTAGCCTACGCATTAATTCCTAAATCCAATACTGCAGTAAAAAAATCGCATTCCTAAACATTTGTTTGCCACAGTAATTAGGTCCAACATCATCTACACATAGTAGCCTAATGCTTTCAAAACCGCACTGTTTTGTTCCGTGTGTTTAAATAACTGAAACTATTTAGCATTTTAGGCATGACTGAATCTCGGAAACTGTAAACAAATGAAAGGAAACCCAAATCTGGTTTGCTGGAACAAGGAAGTTTACTCACAAACAGTGAATTACCACACTCATTTTCCACAAAATAATGCGAACGCTTGATAGACCTTTGATGCAAATGTCTTGTTCTATCAGTTGGCTAGGTTTTTCGTAACTTGGTTCTGTTTTGTTTGCTTCCTCTTCGACTCAACCGGCTGACTTCAAAAACATGTCTATTTGAACACGAAAAACTTATAAACCCACTCATAAACACACAAAATGTATATTAAGCAATAGTCTATACAATAAACAAATAATAAAAAGTAATGTTTTCCCATCGTGAGATGCCGAAAATAGGCTATTCTTGCTTAAAGCATTTTGCAGTGTTATTTGGGATATTAGCGTCTTCAAAGTGTATTTATTCCGTTAAGCAGTGTAAATGTTTTAGCCTAATAGAGACAGCATTTAAAAAAAAACTAACAAAAAAAAATACATGAATAAGATTTTTACCCAAGTGCAAAACAAACCAGATTTGGATAGACAGATGTCTTACCGATGACTTCGACAACTCACTCGAAGAGATTTAAAACCATTCGCTTCAAACCAGGAGGACCGAAATGTGAATATTGACCCCTGAGAGTCTCCGCCAGCTCAGGCCAAATCCAGTGCAAATGCTCGCTTGTGTACACTGGTGTTTGGCAATGGGCCCCAGCTCCAGCTGATGTTCCGTCTGTGTTTTGATAAGGATCAGGGAAGCAAAAATTAGGAATGTTACTATAACGAAGGCTCGGTTCATGGATGGTAAAGAGCTTGCGCTGGCGTTGATTTGTAACTGTCCTGAGGCGTCCAATTGCGCAGCCTAATTATTATTCATGAGGTAAGTCTTCATCGCGTCAACGTCTACATTTCAGCCAATCAGCAAGGCGAACTGGACGAACATAACACTAATATATTAATATACAGAAGGGAAGCCTTTGCCATAGTAGGATCGGTACATTGATGTGGTGGAACTACCAGATGAGAGCCACGTCGCTACAGGACGTGAAATGTCGCATGTTTTGGTAAACACTGAAATGGCGTTACATTACTCATCGTTCGCAAAGCGTACCATCTATTCATTGGATATCGGCATTTTGCTGGCTGAGTGTAAATAATGAAATGTATATTTGCAGTTCACATCACTGCTAGTCGCAGGAGTGTGTCTGTGTGCTCTTAATCTAAGAAAATGCAAACTCATCATCGTCACTCAGCCCCATCTAAACTGCAAAGGGTTGTGCACATAGAAATGAACAGCAACTTTGGAAAATATTTTGAAAAATAATGAAGGCTACACTAACATGAAATGAAGACTCATCTCAGTAGCCTAATGAGTCTTACCAGAATTTAGGATAAAATTATTGAAATAATGTTGTATTAACAGTGAAAACCCGCCAATAATCATGGCTTATGTAGTGTTAGTGATAGTAAAAGTAAATAGTCTATTTATGTGCATAATTTCTGAATTTCTGGTCCTATTCCCCCAACCACAAGGCAATGGTGGCATCAGAAATACTTGTAATTCTGCTTTGCTGCAAGTACATAATTGTGTTAGAAACAATAGCTTGCAAACTTTCACTGAATCAATACAGAATACAATCTGAAGTGACACCGATTATATACTGTATATTTTAAATGTTTTTACATATTTTAAATGTGTTGAATTATTATTTCAAGTTTTTTTTTACAGTTTAGCAATTATATTACTGTCTATTATTGTAATATTGTGTTTGCATTTTTAAACTATTTATAGTAGTATTATGCCTTCAATTTAAATATTAAATGTGCATATCCAGGAAAATAATGTTCTTATTTAATAAAAGATGCTTTATTTTACATGGTGTGACTCCACTTTATGGAAGCCACATTGACACGGTCACATAACCAGCTGAATACTGAAAAAATATTGAAAATTAATCATGGCTGATTGCAAATAAAGCATTTCTATTGAACTGCATTCTGTGGAAGGGAAAGGAAAGCTTTGGGGAAATCAGAAATTGTGTGTATATGTCCTAAATGCATCTAACATCCCAAAGAAAACGTTGCATTTTGTAAAAACTGAAAGTAAACTTAGTTCTTGTGAGTTATTTGTGACTTGCTAAATGTGCTGGGATTATGAGAAATTCATACTAAATTTCCCCTTTAAATACAAATTAAAACTCTTTTGGTATACAGTGGGATCATGCAATGGCAAACTACTTAATTTTGTAGAGTGAATTTGCACTTGCTATTTACTTTAATGTCACCCCAACACATCAGAACAACAAATGACATGTCTTATAATATTGACATGTTATTATTATTATTATTATTTAAAAAGAGAAAAATACATATAATGCTACATGCATGCAACTACTTTTAATGTGCATTGCATCAAAACAATCTTTACTGTCTGCTTTTCATAACCCGAGAGAGCTTACTTGTTACTTAGATGAGTGATATCTTGGTGTGTGAGTGGATGATTAAAGTGAGAGAGTGAATAAGTGATTGAGCAATAGAGAGAAGGACCTATACAATTATAGACTAGTCTTATAGGTTCATATGCCTGCACTCCAGACAGTTCTGGCAGGCTGCATTTTTTTTTTTTAAACCAAGACAAGTTTATTTGATTTATTGTATAATGCTTTCTGGAAACTGCTATACAACTCTCCCTCTTGTAATGCATTGTTTGACAGACCAAATCCATGATGAATATATTATGAATAATTTTTCTAAAATGCTTTGCAAACAATAACTATTTACTTTAAAACCAGTCATTTCACAATGAGCTTAATCTCTCAAAATGCAGTATGTTTGGCAGAAGTTTGTATAAAAAGTATTAAGAGTAAGAGTAATACTGGCCTTTGGATGCTAATTAATAATAATTCCTAAGAAACATTTATGTTGTACATACAGTCCAGTGTCTTATTACCATTCTATGGTTTTATTATAGAGGGGCAATTACAGTCTTCTTCACCTGTTAAAACATTCACAAATATAAACATGATATGCTTTTAAAGCAAAGTATAATATAGGTATCATATACAAATCAATACAAATATTCATGTTAAGTGAGAATTCTTCTTGCTTAGAATAAGTTTTTGATTTTGGATGTCAAAATAAAATCCACGATACACTTATATGGTTTCAGCCAGAGTGTATATATAAAATATAAAAATATAATCCATTATGTGCACTACTGTTTAAACATTTGGGGTTGGTAAGAAAGATTTTTTTAATGTTATTGGAAGGTTTTATGGTCACCAAGCTATACTGTGTTTTATTTGATCTAAAACAGTAAAAATAGAAATGCCATGAAAAAATTATACAATTTGTCTTCTACTTTAATATATTTGTGTAAATTTTTTTTAATTAGTTCCTGTGATGACAAAAAATGTTCAGCAGCCATTACTCCAGTTTTCAGTGTCACATGATTCTTCTGAAATCTAATAATATGCTTCAGAAATTCTAATATGCTATTTTGGTGCTCAATAAACAATACTTACTATTATCAATGCTGAAAACAGCTGTGATGCTCAATGTTGTTGTTGAAACCGTGATGCATTTTCCCCCAGGATTCTTTGATGAAAAGTTGGAAAAGAAAAAAAAAACTGCTTGTTTGCAGTCACTTTTCAATTTAATTAATTATTGCAGAATAAAAATAGTCATTTCAAGTAAATAAATAAACTCAACTTTTCGAATGGTTGTGTAATTAAACAGATAATTGTACATTGTGGGTTATATTCTAAAAGTTTAATTTATATTTCATATAACTCGTTTATGCCTATTTACTATTGACTTGTTAATTACAAATATTATAGGCCTAACATCTTAGCAAAAACAGTGCAGAGGTGAGGATGGACACTTGGACGTATGTGATTTGGACGTGGGAGTGAAACATATGTATAAGCTGTAGAAGCACGATATCATGTGACAGCACCACGCCATATGGGACTGATACTAGATCTGGATGCATTCTGGATCTGTCAAGAGCTCTGCTTTTCTGCTGCGTAATATCACTACCCGCTTCAACAAAGAGGACAAACGCAGTGTTCTAGTGTAGTGTTTGAGTTTTCCAGACTCTCATTGTGCTCGCCAGTGTTTGTACTGGAGCTCAGTGAACTGTTTTAGGAGAGAGAAAGAGAGAGAGAGAGAGAGCGAGCGGGGTGTGAAAGTGAAGCACTATCAGTCTTTGCGGACTGGAGGCTCAAAAACAGCGGAAGAGAGAAAGAGAGGGAGTGATAGAGAGAGGAATCAATCAGCCATGGCAAATATCGCTGTGCAGAGGATCAAGCGAGAGTTCAAAGAAGTGCTGAAAAGCGAAGAGGTTTGCAAAACGTTACTTTACTCTATTTTCCTGCCCGTTAAGAGCAAACAAAAGGACTTTTGGGGAAAACGTCCAGAAGCCAGTGAGCTAGCTTAGCCTGCTACGCTAATGTTAGCATGAACTGTCATATGATGTGTCCTTTATATACGGAAGTCTTACATCTGACAAATGTGTTTCCTTTGATATTTTAAGACGAAAGCCTTGACCGAAATGTGAAAACCATGTATGGACATATCAAAGTACCACTAGATTCTTGACTGCACACGCCGTTCTTTAGCTATTAAGCTAACTTGCTATTTGACATAGCCTGCTAGCTGCTTCACTAACTCTTCTTTAGTGTGTTCTAATATTAGCACTCGTGTTTGTCGCCTATTAACGTATTCTTCCTCTTTTTTTAAAAATACTTTTTTACTGGCCGTGTCCAGACATGTTTGCTGTGTTAGTTAGTGTCAGTTAGCAGGACTGCTAGACTGTTTAAGTAGTTTTCAGTAGTGCAGCACCATGGTTGTTTCAAAATCCATTGAGTTGCCTACCTAGACAACATTTTAGGGAACCACAGGCCCCTTTCATGCTGTCTACGTAGGCTGCTCATTGGTTTGAAACAGTCCCATCACTTAATTGGTCACTTCTTTGTTCTGGGCAGCTGAAGTAAAGAAACAATCTTGTTTGACTAACTAAAGGCTTGTTTCTGCCGTTTTGTCCTGATCCCAGTTATATTAAATGCACAAAGGTTAACTGGGTTAATAATCCTTTTTCCTGTTTCTATTTTTGTTCTACTTTATAACAGACAAGTAAAAATCAAATAAAAGTAGATCTGGTGGATGAAAACTTCACAGAGTTAAAGGGAGAAATAGCAGGACCACCAGACACACCGTATGAAGGTAGTGAGGCTATTTTCATCAGTCTTCTCTATTGCTGACATGATGTTTGCAGATACATTAATGTTCTGGTTAAGATTATAATTTACAAGTTTTTTTTCACCATAGGGGGCAGATACCAGCTAGAAATCAAGATACCTGAAACATATCCGTTTAATCCACCCAAGGTAATATTTTACATCTTTATTTGATGTTTTAGTAATATTAGTGATTGCAGTTAATATTTAAGGTAAAATCAATCTGAAGTGTTTATAAGTAAATCAGGATTTTCAATAGCAGACTTGATATTACCTATCAGGAATTGATTAGGTTTTTAATAGTGGGTCTTGCATTTCTTAATGGAGCCAGGTGATCAAAGACACAAAACTATGTTCACTTAATGAAAAATATAAAAAACAAAGAACTTACCAACTTACACTTGCTAAATTGTTAGCACCATTTGAAATCTGTAGAGGGAGTAGAATTGTTCAGTTCCCCTGCTGGATTAAACACATTTTTATTAAATAAAGTACAACTTAAATTCTGTCCCAGTGGATATATGAACAGGAGCAGGATCTCATTTGGTTACAATTAAGTGATTTTACTGACCTGAATATAGGCTGCAATACTCTACACAACTTTTGCCCAGATTTTAAGGTTTAAAGTCTGGAGAAGTCAAAGCTAGTTGCTTAAAATCAGAACCAGTCTGCAGATTTTGACCAGTCGGAGTTGGCAGATTTCACAGACGAATGTGTAGTGTATGATGGACTATGATTCCATCTATTTGCAAGATACAGTATCAAACATATTTGATATTTTGAAATATTATAAAAACACATTGTTTCCGTTTGTCATGTCTACTTGCAACAAGGCACATGTTTGAGTGAATTTTTGTTTGTAACAACTTGAACGTCTGTTAGTGTGTGATTAGCAGTCCTTTAGTGTGTGAGGCAGTTTCTCTCCGTTATCCTTTACAAAAGTTGGCAAGTGTACGATGACTAGTGTTTTAAAGTCTTTTCAGTTGTGTAGTGTATTCCATCCTGAACTGGACCAACACTTGACTTGATTAACAAAGCAGTGAAGAACTATTTTCTGTGGTAACTGAACCTAATCAAGCAGTAACAAACTACTACTGTGTCTAACATTATCTAAAAATACCTGCATGTGCTAAATTTGACTGTAAACATAGAGATAACAACAGAAACTTGTAATAAAAATGTAATAATCGTAAATTACTGAAGATTTTAAATTTTACTTGAACTACTTGGAGACATGAAGACTGTGTGCAGAAAATAAAACTGCACAGAAAAATTTCAGATAAATTAAATGTTTATTTACCAATGAAAAGATTAAAGACTAAAGGGGGGGAAATGTCATATCAGGGTTAGAGCCCTGCATTTCAGCCCGGGCCCGACGGGCCTGACTTCTATATGCCCTTAGTGCCGGGCATCGGGCCAATTTTCACGTCATAGTTCAGACGCGGGCCGGGCCTCGGGCCTGTTTTAGGCTTCTCTTTATTTTTTATATTTTAAACATCCATCAATTAGTGATAAAAAAAAAAATTGCCGCATTGGTGGAAACAGCACGAGACCGTGCTACTGTCAAAAGCGGCTCGACGGTGTTTAGTGTCCCGCAGCAGCAGCGAGTGCCGTCAGCGCAGCTGGAAGAGTTCCGCGTTCAAATGCACGCAATAGGCTAAAGCTTGCCACAAAGCCCCAGCAAAAGTAATTACCATGAATGTGTCAGGGGGAAATAGTAAGGAGATATTTGAATTATTTACTAATAAACTAGTTTTTGATTTGTTTTATTTCGTTAAGTAGTAATTTAAAGCTTTCTGTGAGGCATGTATTCACTGAGTTTCGGTTCGTTTTTGTGAAGCGCTCCTGTTCAAGACCGAGACGGCAGAAAGCGCACCATGTTTGTTTTCTTTATTTTATAAAAGCACAATGTTTTGTTGATATTGTTAGTGCGCACAAATAAAAGTAGACCCTTTACAGTTCCGAATAATGTATTACTCTCACTTTTGAGCAAAAATGACGGCATATTTTAAGTTGTTTCCACTGTAAAAAAAATGTCCTGCAAAGCACACTTTAGCTTCCACTCTCCACACAAACGATTGGATACAGTGCACATTTATCTAGGTTTAATGTTTAAACATTGTTATATGCTTGAACTGTTTTATATCTATAGAGTCGTGATGATTTGAGAAGGCTAAATTGATAAAACATAGGCTATGATCAGCTCACTGTCTGCCACTGGCCACTTGGTCATTACTTTAAAAAACAAAAACTTATATTAAATGAACAAAAAATGCTCCAAACGTTTTTCTGAATTAACTTAACTTAAAAACGAAACGAAATATAATCACTCACTTTGCCATTACATACAAAACTGAACTATTTTAATAGCTGAAACAGTAGTATAAGCTGTTTTGGGAGAAGGGGGAAAACAAAGACGGGCTCGGGATGGTAATTCTGATAAGCTTACGGACACGGGGCGGGCCAGGGCCTGAGCGTCTCGGGCTAGGGCCTAATTTTGAGGCCCGTGCAGAGTTCTAATCAGGGTAATAATTCAAGCTCATTTGTTTTGTTTTATGCAAGAGTTTTTTTTGCAGGTATGGTCAATTATGATTTAATGTTGATTTGATTTGAAATATCATAGGACTTTGAAGTTAAAATATATTTTTCCTACATGTTTTTCAGGTGCGGTTTATTACTAAGATCTGGCATCCCAATATAAGTTCAGTTACTGGGGCAATATGTTTGGACATTTTAAAAGACCAGTGGTGAGTGCTTATAATTAATGATCACGACAGGTGTAGTTTACTGTCATCAATGTGTTTCACACAGTTTTATTTCCCCAATTACTGTTGTACTTTCTCTTTCCTGTTCCCTTTTCTATACTCTTTCTTCATCTCCTCTGTATTCTGTCTTCACTTCCTGTGCACAGGGCTGCTGCTATGACTCTGCGAACAGTTCTGCTCTCACTACAGGCTCTGTTAGCTGCAGCAGAGCCAGATGATCCTCAAGACGCTGTGGTAGCCAATCAGGTACACATGCGTGTCTGAATGAGAACGTACAATAACAAAGCATTGCAAACCTTTCAACTACATTACTGTTGTTGTTTTTTGCAGTATAAGCAGAATCCAGAAATGTTCAAACAAACCGCTCGTCTCTGGTCTCACGTTTACGCTGGCGCTCCCGTGTCCAGTCCCGAGTACACACGCAAAATAGACAAACTTTGTGCAATGGGCTTTGACAAAGTAAGTACTGAAAGTGGACAGCTGCTATTGTGGTTAAAAATTCAGATGCACAGACTACAGCTGGGGTTTGCAACCTTAGGGACATGGGACACTATTGGCATGTGTTGCCTTGAACTTTCAACACATTACTTGATATAAATAAGAAATGACCACTGTCAGTGAGGTTTTAAACTTGTCATATATGATCTTTAACGATCAATACAATGATAGTGGCTTGTGAATTGCAAATTTAATTACATTTTTTGAAATTTTTTAAAGGGCGTCCCTCTTGAATTGATTTTTTGAGGTGTACTAGAATAGGTTTTTATGCTTGATTGTTCCAAAAAAAAAAAAAAAAAATAGACATTATTTTTGACATTTCACTTTATTGCAGCACCTCTTTTCTCGGTCTGTCTTGAACGTTCTCTGTATTTCATTTTTGGGCGAAAACCTCCTTCCGAAAACCTGTGCAATCACAAATAAAGGGTTTTGGAACAGGGTTTGGAAAATGGAAACAGTAATATCTATGCATTTTTATGCCTGAGTCCTCTTTACAAACAACTCAAAAACTAAAAATTCAGACCTTTTAAAGCGATTTTTGAAAAAGAAAAAAAACTATAGGACGTGGACCATCAGTTGTTAATTGAATGGTGGCAGATCTTAAAGTGAGTGTGCATTCAATTGCCAGGTTTTCTTTTGTTCATTTTCAAATAACTTTAAAATCTAAATCAAATGTTACTTTAGTAATTGTGTCTTTTTGTTTACAAACCAACATGTTTTGTTCAAGGGTAATCACATATGCCTGCCAGCCACAGTGGTACTTGCCAAAAAGTACCAAGTTATTAATGAACAAAAACAGAATAAAAATCACTTTTTGACACTTATGTCAAAAAGGTTGCCGACCCCTAGACAGTCTGTGACGTATATACTCAGACATGTATTACACAATGAAATTGAATCCCTATTTTTAGGTAAATGTTTTCACGTATAGAAAATACACTATGGTTTGGGGTTGGTAAGATGTTTTGCTTGTGTATGCTTAAAAAAAAAATTTATCTTATGCTCACCAAAGCTGCATTTATTTGATCAAAAATAGAAACCGTAATAGTGAAAAAAGAATTACAATTTAAAAGAACTGTTTTCTATTTTAATATAGAAAGCTGAGTTTTCTGCAACCACTAGTCCAGTCTTCCATGATCCTTTAGTAATCATTCTAATATGCTGATTTGGTGCTCAAATAATCAGTATTGAAAAGGGTTGTGCTGCTTAAAATGATTATAGCATTTATTTAATCTAAAAATCTTTTGTAACATTAAAAGTGCCTTTACTGTCAATTTAATGCATCCTCGCTAAATAAAAGTATAAACGATACAATAACCAATCCCAAACCTTTGAATGGTAGTATAAAAATATGCAGAATACCGTTTAGTAGGCACTGTTGAAAGGATAATGAAATAATCCTTCAAATAAATTTGAGTTCAGTTTAATTGATTTGTGGAGTAGCACTTTGTTATATTGAATGAGCAAAAATGTTCTGTTTTGTCAGGATGGCTGTCATTTAACTGTTTTCAGTGTGATATTTAGTCAAATTAGTGAACTGTTAGCGTCATCTAAGAAGCAATTCAGCAAATCTACTGTTGCTTACAAATGTTATATTCTGTTATACGTTATATGTCTTTGTCTCTCTCAAACAGAATGCAGTAATAGTAGCCTTGTCCTCGAAATCATGGGACGTGGAGACAGCGACAGAGCTGCTACTAAGCAACTGATCATCCAGTTCTCTTCATCAGGCCATGTTTTCCTCAAACCCCTCCACTCCCACCCAACCAACCATGCACACACACATGCATCACCCGTCTTGGTTTGTGTTCAGATTGAATGTTTGGGTAAGAGACAGCGAGACCTCGGAGTCATCTTCTGTCTCTCTTAGCAAATGTTCACATCCCTTGCTTCCCAACATTTTCACTCCCAGTTTTTGCCTTGCTACAATAATTTTTCCTCTAAAATTTAGCCTGTCACTTCCCTTTTAAAGAAACCCAAAAAAGACAAAGCCCCTATCCCTGTCATTTCATGCGAAAAGAAACACCCACTTGCATCTGTGAGACAATGTTAGAACATGTAAATTAGTATATTTAAGGTTGTGTACATTTAAAAGGCAAAATAGCAGGAATGTTATTTTTTTT